CATCTCACACCAGGCAGAATGGCCATCATCAAAAAATCTACAAACAGTAAATGCTGGAGAGGGGGTGGAGAAAAGGGAACCCTCTTGCACTGTTGGTGGGAATGTAAAGTGATACAACCACTATGGAGAACAGTATGGAGGTTCCTTAAAAAACTAAAAATAGAACTACCATACGACCCAGCAATCCTACTTCTGGGCATATACCCTGAGAAAACCATAATTCAAAGAGTCATGTACCACAATGTTCATTGCAGCTCTATTTACAATAGCCAGGACATGGAAGCAACCTAAGTGTCCATCGACATATGAATGGATAAAGGAGATGTGGCACATATATAACAGTAGAATATTACTCAGCCATAAAAAGAAACGAAATTGAGTTATTTGTAATGAGTTGGATGGACCTAGAGTCTGTCATACAGAGTGAAGTCAGAAAGAGAAAAACAAATACCATATGCTAACACATATATATCTAAAAAAAAAAAAAAAGTTCTGAAGAACCTAGGGGCAGGACAGGAATAAAGACACAGACATAGAGAATGGACTTCAGGACACGGGGAGGGGGAGGGGTAAGCTGGGACGAAGTGAGAGAGTGGCATGGACATATATACACTACCAAATGTAAAATAGATAGCTAGTGGGAAGCAGCCACATAGCACAGGCAGATCAGCTCAGCACTTTGTGACCACCTAGAGGGGTGGGATAGGGAGGGTGGGAGCAAGATGCAAGAGGGAGGATATATGTATATGTATAGCTGATTCACTTTGTTATAAAGCAGAAATTAACATTCCATTATAAAGCAATTATACTCCAATAAAGATGTTAAAAAATTAAAAATGTATACTTCTTATAAGTTAAGAAGAATAAATAACATTGAAAATATTAAATATTTTAAAAATTAAGTCAATGTATGAAAGTCATAAAATAAACTATTGTTAAAAAAAAGAATGGCATGCCATATGCATCAAGGAAGTGGATCACAAGTAGTTGGACTATAACTACATATAATCATTGTTTATTGTATCTATATGTTTAATATTAAAACAGGTTACATGGAGCTATCACCATGGAAAAATACATTGATAGTTACAAGTCACACTGTCCTTCAACTGAAATTTCAAATTATGTCTTTGGCATGAATCCAATGGTACATCATTGCTCTCTAAAATATGCCGTTTTGGGGCTTCCCTGGTGGCGCAGTGGTTGAGAGTCTGCCTGCCGATGCAGGGGACACGGGTTTGTGCCCTGGTCCGGCTGGGCCTGTAAGCCATGGCTGCTGAGCCTGCGCGTCTGGAGCCTGTGTTCCGCAACGGGAGAGGCCACGACAGTGAGAGGCCCGCGTACCGCAAAAATAAATAAATAAATAAATAAATAAAATAAAAATAAAATATGCAGTTTTCAAGCTGCTGCACGTTAACTAACAAGAGGTATAAATTGTATATCTTGGTTCATATCCTGTGGACCATATGGAATTAAGTGGTAGACCAGAGCTTGTCCCCCTTCTTGTCCAAAACCCAAATGAATAAATAACTAAGGGCTGTAGACATAAAGACTAGTGATTAGGTGGTTGGTACGTAACCTAACTTGAAGCAGGTTATGCATACAGAGACCTAATCGAAGAAAAATCGCTAATGGCTATGTTTTCTTCTTCCCTCTTACATATTACTAGTTAAAGACCAAGAACGCATTATGATGATATTAAAACATCTTTCTCATTGCCTAACAATCCAGTTTCATCAGTACCAGGTCAGATAGCTTGGCAGTCAGCCGCCACATGGTTACCAATGATCCCTGCCTCCTGATATTGACACCCTTGTGTAGCCTGATCCCACACTGTACCAGGGTTGGTCTTTGTGACTAATCACAACTGGCAGAAGAGATAATAAGGTGATATATCACTGATGAAATTAGGTTATAAAAAAGACCACTATTGGGCTTCCCTGGTGGCGCGGTAGTTGAGAGTCCCCCTGCCGATGCAGGGGACACGGGTTCGTGCCCTGGTCCGGGAAGATCCCACATGCCATGGAGCGGCTGGGCCCGTGAGCCATGGCCGCTGAGCCTGCGTGTCCAGAGCCTGTGCTCCGCGGCGGGAGAGGCCACAACAGTGAGAGGCCCGCGTACCACACACACAAAAAAGGACCACTATTTCTGTCTTGGGCTGGCTCTCTTGCATACATGTTTTCTTTTCCCTCCCTCTTTCCCCGGAAAGCAGCCTGCCATGCTGTGAGCAGCCCAATGGCCAGGAACTGATGTCTCCAGCCAAGAGCCAGTAAGAAGTAACAGCCAGTAAAACCAACGAAGAACCACAGGAATAATCTTGGAAGAAATTTCTGTAGCCCCAGGGGTGCCTTGACATGATGGAAAAACCAGGCTACATTATAACCTCATGAGAAACCTTGAGCCACTACCGCCCTATTAAGTGACTCTCGTATTTCTTACCCGGAGTCCCTGTGCAAGAGAAGAACTGTTTGCTGTTTTAAGCTGCTAAATTTTAGGGCAATTTGTTACACAGTAATAACTAACGAATACAGATGGCAAGAACCAGGGTATATTCTGTTTAAAAGCTGACAAACCAACTACTTGATATTTCAGCATTTTCAGAAATTAAGCAGGCAAACCAAGTAAAAGTCACGTATAGACCTGGATTTCTCCTAGAATAAGAGTAAGAGGTACCTTGAGTAGTGCTGGAAGAAGCCAAATTCAAAAGGGTTAAGCAGTGAGTGACGGTAAGAAAGTGAAATAAATTCAAATTTGTCCAGACCCCTCCCCATCTTGTCTCGTCCCAGAAACACATAAGTCAATGATGTATCTATCGGGGGAAAAAAGTTGTATGAACCAATGCTGGCTACGAATCGACTTTATGATTTTAACAAAACTTTAGCATTTTAAATTTCTTCCTTATTTTACTTTCTTCAATAGAGCCTCAGTTTCAGCTTCATTGATGATCCAAACCAGGTAGGAAAAAAAGTGTATTTTCCACTTTCAGTGGAAATAACCTCCTTTCATTTGTAACAGAGCAGCTTAAAGATTGCTTAAGGTGGAGATAATGGCTTATATGAATTGTGTGTAATGCTGCATTAACTTGTTGTCATTACCATCATTATTAAAACTGCAGCCAAACATTCGCCATGTGCTCTACAGGGCACATTAGCTTATACAAGACATCACTGATGCCCTCTAAGAACAGATCCAAAGAGTTCAAAAGCAGTGAGTTCTCATAGATGCATGAAAAAAAAAACCAACCTAGACTGTACCACATCAACTTAGAAGCACGCAATGTAGGAATTAGAAGATTCAGTTCATCTTATTTTTCAAACAAAACCTTAACAAATAGAAGTTAGCTTTGGAGGTTCAAATCAAGAGTGAAGCAGGAAATATAAGGGAAATTCATCTAAAGGTATTAACTCAAAATTTTCCTTCACCCCTGAGCCATTCAGAAACAAAAAAAGCTGGCTTCCCATTCTTTCCTGCTATTTCCTCATCCTGTCAGATTGACACTTGCAGTCTTGGCAAGCTGGCAGCATTCAAGAGAGGGAGAGAACAGTCACATCTGGCCAGATCTTCAACTGGTTTCTGGGTCTGCTTGCCCCTGCCTCTCCTGCTGTTTCTTCTGCTCCCGAAAATATGATTAATGTCTATGAATTTGCAAAACTCTGCATTGTAAGCAATGCTGAGGGCTTTCCATCCCAAGGAGGTTGAGGTATGGAGTTAATGAGAAGTGAGACTGTGGGGAATGAATAGAAACATGCCATTGTTAAAGTAATTGAGCATGAATATCAAACACTGACTTGGGAGCAGTCTTCATTTGCTGATGGAAAGGCTGATCAGCTAGTGGGTAGATGGGGTGTGCACAGATCTGCATTCACTGCTGGCCCCAGAATTTCCATCACAACAGCCTACACTTTATATAACCTTGGTACCTTGTTTCCTCACCTAGATTCATGCTTCTCTTTTTTCTCTTTCTTTTCTTTTTCCTTTTCCCTTCTTTCCTTCTATCCTCCCCTGCCTCCCCTCCCTCCTTCCTTCCTACAAAAGTTTTCCTCTTTCTTCTTTATGAATTTATCTCATCCATCCCAGAGCCCTATAAAGAATTTAAAGTTTCTTTCAATAACTGCTGTTTCTTTAAAAAATGCACAATTTACTAATGCCAGTTCAGAATAACACAGATGATGGTGTTGTGGCTAGAAGAACTGCTGAGGCTATAATTATCATTTTAAAAACCCTGCATTGTCCTCTAAAGCCAGTGAAAACTTGAGTTATTAATTAGTATAAGACACTCCTCTGTGTCTTTTATCATTCGCAATTAGATCATTTGTATGTTCTTAAGTGGCAAGGATCTTTGGAAGATGTGCACAATAGCGACAAAATGAACACCTTAATAAGCTGTACATTATTATTAATTTCAAGTTGTAATGAATAGTGTTATTCAGAACAGAGTAGTTCTGTTCTGAATAACACTATTATTTTAGTAATAGTTTCAAGAAAACTAATATTAAAAAAAGTAACTGGTTCTAAAATTCTAGGCACTCACAATTAGGGATTTTTATAAAAATTCATTTACAAAGATGTTTTTAATTTACAATAAAATGGACATTTAAATGTACATCAATTGGGAATTGGTTAAGTAAAATACAATACATTCATTAAATGAAATTTAAAATGTGTGAAAAATACATAATTAATGAGGATATAGGCAATACAGTATATTTTTAATGAGGCATAAAAACTATAAACTCATTTAAAATATACATGATTAAAAGACTAAGCATTAATGTTTAACTGATGGTCATAGAAATTCTAATATTGTGTTCCCACTCGTCATTTTCTAAATTTCCATTTGAGTGTGTATGACAATTGCTAGGAAAAAACTTCTTAAGTAACAAAGTAACCAAACAATGAGTTTCTCAATCCCTATACATACACCCAGAAAACCAGGGAAAAAACATAGGAAAAGCAATCATATGAGAAAGATCTTAAATATAGAAGTGTTAATGGTTTACCTTAATAGCGTAGTAGTCTCTAACTTCAGGCCTAATAGAATCAAAGTCTCCACTGATGAATTCAGGCAGAAAGCTGAAAGAAAGAGTTCCAAGTCAGTCAACTATTTAAGGCTACTTAGTTGCTAACCTTTAAAACTATGATTATTAAGGACCAGAGAGAGAGAGCTAATGTACTCAAAAGGAAAAAGAAATAGAGCCTATTTTCAGAGAGAATGGGATGTTACATCTTATATGCTTAGTTTCCATACAGTATGATTGAGGGCAACTCCACATATCCAACTAATGCGTCAACTTAGTCTATCAGTCAATATTTATCTTGCTTAAAAAAACATATAAAGGGGCTTTCCTGGTGTCACAGTGGTTAAGAATCCGCCTGCCAATGCAGGGGATGTGGGTTCTAGCCCTGGTCGGGGAAGAGCCCACATGCCGTGGAGCAACTAAGCCCATGTACGACAACTACTGAGCCCGCGCTCTAGAGCCCGCGAGCCACAACTACTGAGCCCGCGTGCCTAGAGCCCGTGCTCCATAACAAGAGAAGCCACCGCAATGAGAAGTCCGCGCTCCGCAAAGAAGAGTGGCCCTGCTCGCCGCAGCTAGAGAGAGCCCGCGCTCAGCAATGAAGACCCAATGCAGCCAAAGATAAAAAAATAAATTTATTTAAAAAATATATATGTAAAGATAAAAGCTTATTGGTTTAAAAAAAGCTCTCAGTTCAAAACCCTAACACAAAGACTCATAGTCTCTGCATAGTCCCTTCTACAAATATATACGAACTTTGACAGTATTTTACCCTGATACCAGTTCAAAACTTCCAGCAGATTTGAACTGAACAAATGATGATGAGGATTAGGCATACTTTGTAGAGCAGGAGTTAGTTCAAAACCATTTTCTAAATATCCGACTGACAGGGCTTCCCTGGTGGCGCAGTGGTTGAGAGTCCGCCTGCCGATGCAGGGGACATGGGTTCATGCCCCGGTCCGGGAGGATCCCACACGCTGCGGAGCGGCTGGGCCCGTGAGCCATGGCCGCTGAGCCTGTGCGTCCGGAGCCTGTGCTCCGCAACGGGAGAGGCCACAGCAGTGAGAGGCCCGCATACCGCAAAAACAAAAACAAAAATATTCTACTGACATATTTCTAGAAATAGGAATCTTCTAGATAGGTCTGCAATACCACAAAGGTCACGGTTACTAAATACAGAGAGAGAATTCCCCCAAATGGATGTTTCCAATTATATCACTGTTACCTTATTTCTCTTCCCTACCATTTATATTTTTTCAGAACTCATTTTGGAAAACCTACCTTACTGTATCTACATAAGCCATCCTTTACTATTTTTTACATAAAACACTGACATGACCTGGTAGAATTTCTTCCCACTTAAAACACCTAACTGTGGAGAAATAAAACTTCCCTGGACTTCTCAGTACTCTGGCCAAACGCTCTTGCTTTCTGAGCTTCCGAAGTACCTATGATATAAAGAAGAGAACAGTTGCTTTCATGTCTTCCAGAAATATCCTGCTCTCCATAAACCATAAAAATTAGATCTAGCTTTTTAACCTAACTGTCCTGCTTCAGAATCATAATATAACTTCTATATGTCTTCTCAAGATGGCCAAATTGTTACATAAGGAACCAGGTTCCTAGTTAAAGGGAGACTGAATATTACTGCTGGGCATTATATGTCAAACGAGATAAAGCCCCAGGGCTTCCCTGGTGACGCAGTGGTTGAGAGTCCGCCTGCCAATGCAGGGGATGCGGGTTCGTGCCCCGGTCCAGGAAGATCCCACATGCCGCGGAGCGGCTGGGCCCGTGAGCCATGGCCGCTGAGCCTGTGCGTCCAGAGCCTGTGCTCCGCTACGGGAGTGGCCGCAACAGTGAGAGGCCCGCGTACCGCAAAAAAAAAAAAAAAGAGAGATAAAGCCCCAGAACCTAGAGACATCTCTAGGTCATAAAAGCTAAGACACACAGAGCTATGTGGCTCCTGGAGAGATTTTACTGTTATAAATTGTTAAATCGGTTGGGGTTAAGATTCAGGGCCATAAAATTTCCACCAGAGACTCTTTCAAGAGGGGAGAAGCACAGCTGCCACCTCCCACTTAATAAGTTAAGGGAAAATATCATATTTCCTTGTCTTTCACATATGGAGTGTGCAGCTATTAGCACAGGACCACTGACCTATCATTGCGTGAGCCAAGGGATAAAAACTAGAGCACAGGAATTGATGCAATATCAAAATGTAACTGGAAGTGGTGCAAAAGGCAAAGAAGGCCTTCATATCCAAGAGGAGGTTGATAGGATTCCATGAAAGTTAAATATTTAATACTTGTTTTGTCTAACTTTTATTAGAGGTAATAAGAACTCTGACTCAGAGCTTCTTGTGTACACATTCAGGATAAAATTAATAAGGAAGAGTATTTAAAAACCCATTACTAACCTTATTCTTTTGTACAATGTTTTTAAGTTCTTAACCCAATTGGAAATAGGACTTCTTAGGTCAACTCAGTTAACTAGTCTATGTTGGACCAACTCTTCTTTGATCTATACATCTTCTTAGGACTAAATGGTTATGAGAAAATTCTACCACAGAGTTCTGTACCATATAAACTGCACAGTTTTGTCTTTTCATTAAACAATGATAATTACTTATTAAAATTTTCAATCAACTGATTTCAGAAACATTCACTGAACATCAGCCATGTGCAAAAAACAACAGTTCTCTCAGAATAAGGCAAAACTGGGAAGTAAAATAGGTTTCTAAATCATCTTGCCTGGTTTCAACATCTTCCTACAAACTTTTCTCCTCAAAACATCCCTACTGTAGTATCTATGAATTTCAAAATTTCATTTTATACCTATTTTGGTAACTCCCTTATATCTTAATTAGGACTAAAGATAGACTATTAGTTCATATCTTTTTTTCTTCCTGTTGCAAAAATTAATTCATTTTCAAAGTTTCTTTCAAATGCCTCCACCTACCACCATTCAACCATACACAAGTTAAAACGCATATGGATCACAGAATATTCATGCTTCTTATGGTCTGAATGTTTATGTCCCCACAAAATTCATATTCGTATGTTGAAACCCTAACGCCTAAATTAGGAGGTGATCAGGTCAGGAGGGTGGAGCCCTCATGAATAGATGAGTGCCCTTATAAGAGAAACCCCAGGAAGCTCTCCCCTCTCCCATCACATGAGGACACAGCAAGAAGACAGCCAACTATCTGTCTAGGGAACAGAGCTCACCATACAGTGAATCTGCTGGCACTCTGACCTAGAATTTCCCAGCCCCCAGAACTGGGAGAAGTAAGTGCTTGTTGTTTATAAACCATCCAGTCTATGGTATTTTGTTATAGCAACTTAAAGGGATTGAGACGTTGCTGGCAAGGATAAAAGGAATCATTCCTCCAATACCTCCATTATCCTTTTAAAGGAATTGAAATCTAAGAAGTCAAGTGAGTTTTGTGTGTCAAGTGAGTTTGGCCAGTACTTCACCATGTAAAGCAGTCATTTTAACTTAGGACTCTGGTTCTGTCAGTCCAAATCACGTGACTTCCTAATAAGACCTACTCTATGTTCCTCCACAAACTTTAGCGCCTCAAATATCAAGAATCAATTTGGCAGTTTCCAAATACTACATTTTCTGACAATAAATAAAATGAAAATAAAAGCTGATAAATGTAGTCAGCTGAACATCTATCCCCTAGGATATATCGTCTTAAAGAGCATTAGATATCTTTCTTACTCTGCAATTAATGAAGGAAAGCAATCACGTAAATTCACTTATATATTCATGTAAAATATTAACAGGAAAACAAAATTATATAAATAAAAGATAACCAACTTCAGTAAGTTTTTAATATAATTTTCTCCAGTATAACATAGATGCTTTTAAAATTAATGAGGATGCTTATTTCTAAAAAGACTCATAGCAAAAATATACCTGGTATACACGCTGAGATAACTAAAATAATTATAACATTTCCTGATATAATACACTAGTTTTTGAATCTTCCTGAAATGTGCTTTTGGACGTTGCAATTAAAAGCCCACCTAACATTTTCTGAGGCACCTGTTGCCAAGGCGCCTGGGCATTCTGAAGAGGTACTTGTTGGGGATGACACTTCACAGATGTAGAGGAACTATATTATGATATAAAAGACAGTGTACACAGAAGATAATTTTCAAAACTATTTGGAGACTGACTGCACATAGCAACTGATGAAGAGTAAATGGATTTGTGTCACCCGTGATCACATTTCTGTCTACTGTTGATGTACATCACACCAGTGGACCTCTTCTTAGTATCCTCAGTCTACCAGCACCACCGACTCGTTAGTATTAAAAGGTGTTACAAACTCTACAAAAATGGCATAGACTCTTGATATTTATATTTTAAATATTACTGCACTTGCTACTCACTAATGACAACATAAGAGATCAAAAAGAGTTGAGATTAATTCATGAGCTAAAGATCCATCACATGTAATAACTGAGAGAAAGGTTGACACATACAGAAGATATACTTAACCACGGTGTGTTACAACACAATTACTGTTTTTCATAAGACATTTTCTGACCACAGAGCCTTCTTTGCTCCCAAAGAAGATACAACCACTGCCTTCCAACTTCCATAGCAGTGAATCTCTTACTTTCCATTTCATTTTAAGCAATTTTATAAATGTCTTTTAGCTTCTTCTAGACTAAGTTCTTGGAGCAGGAGATCTCTGATTGATCTTGGTATTCCCCAAAGCACCAAGTACACAGATGGTGACAATAATGTAATAAAGTGAAAAGGCAGAGAAGGAGAAGCAGGAGGGATGAGGGGATGAAAGGAAGAGAAGTGGGAGTAGGAGGGAAAAGGAGAAAAAGGAAGAGGGGCGGGGGAAGGAAGAGAGGACAAAAAGAGGAAGCAGAGTGAGGGGAGGGGAGGGAAAGAGTGGAGAGGAGGAAGTAGAAAAAAATGGTAAAAAGGGAGGAAAAAGGCCAGGAGAGGGAAGGAAGGGGAAGAAGGAAGTGGAAAAGAACAAGGAAAGAAACCTTCAATATGAACTTCTTACTATGCCTGCTCCCT